GTCAGCAGGTAGTTCACTCACAAAAGTCCCCAGAGACATGAGGATGACCCCATGCTCTCCAGAACTCTGCACAAAGTCCTCCAAGTGTTGAGGCAGAGGTTTTGCAGGTTTACACTGGAACCCTCCCATGTACACAACATTAGGCATTGTGGGGCGTGGATATTCAAAGACAAAGTCCACTCTCATCAGCCAAATCTCTGCATCAATCAATAGCTGATAAAAGTCATTATTGGGTCCAAGATATTTGTCACATATTTTCTGATATACTTCTCTGACCAAATAAGTTTGTACCTGGTTAAATACATATAACATCACATTTTTAACTCTCTGAAAAAAGGACATCTTATCAGTCAAACCAGATCCTGTTATAGGAATATAAGATATGGGTGAAGGGGCAATGCCAAAATGAGCCTCTTCAGGTATGAGCCAGCGAACATTATAAACCACAGGAAGGTTCAAATATTTGGCCAAAATGGGTCCACTTCCCCAGCAGGGATCAGTGAGGACCAGATCAAACTTGGTGTCCTTCAACATTCTCAACAGCTCTTTGTCGTCTAGCACCGCTGATGCAAATTCACCCACAGCTTCATGAGCTTCAACAAACGTGCCGAACATGCCGACAGTCATATGGAGAAAACTTGTCAAGGGAAGAGCTCCCCGTTCAAAATCTATGACCGCAGATACGATTCTTGTGATGGAGTCCTTGTCTAAGCTCCTCTCTACTGGAACTGTATAGGAACTGTAATAAGTGGAGTTATCCTTAATGTACCAGCTTTTAGTCGAACGCACAATAGTTAGATTGTGTCCTCTGGCGTGCAGAGCTTGAACTAGAATATCCATGTTTATCCAGTGGCTGCCTTCAGTAGAAAAGACCAAGATGTTTCCACCTTGACAGGTTCTAGGAAGAAGGATGAGCAGCAGCAAAGCACTGCAGCAATAGATCAGCCTCATCTGGAATGAAAAAACAATTGACAGTTAACCAGACTGGACAATGTTAATGTTGTCTTAGTCTAATAATTACATTTGTTTGATCTTAAACATTAAAGTTGGAAATGTATGCAAAAAAAGAATTTGAGAAGGAGGCAAATACTTTTTCATGGCACTGTATTTCCTATAATATAACATGCTCTATGTCTGAACTCTGATAACTTTTTTAATATATATAAAAGTTAGGACAAGCTTACTCGGTTGGAACCTAGTAAAAACTGAGCATCATATTAAACATGGCACAAGTATGAGCTGCATGCAGTTACAATGATGGATCAAGGCTTAAGCCCCATTTCAGCACCAATAATAGTCCAAAAACACCACAACCTTTTTCATTCACCTTGGTATACAATTTCACTTCTAGAATGAAATTCGGTTAGTTGCTTCCAGCTGTTTGCAGGAGTCTCTTGTCTGGAATTTATTAAATCCCTGCAGCATCGAACAGCACCAGGGTGCATATGGGCATCTCCAAAGTGCGAGAGTTGTGCGCATTTACGCATAAGGCACAACCGCAGTAACTACATTAATTGGGTATAATTTTAAATGATCTCCGACATGGAGATTGGCTCGATCAGGACCTAACACCACATCACACTGGTTACTTTACTTCACCTTAGATAAGTGAACTGTCACACAGAGTCACGGTTAAGAACATGTAGTAAAATCGAGCGCAATCTCTCTTCATGTGCTGTCGTCACTTCAACAGATTGAGGAAGTCAGTGTGACTTATCCCATGTGCAAAAACAGTCGACACATTATTCGTACAACGTTACAATTTCAAGCCATACAGATTGCGTTTATTGTCACGATTTCTTACCTTTCTTCATTTCCCTCATTGTAAAGTCTTCTCTCTTACTTTTCCATGACATAAATTATCCCTCCTCTTCCTCTAAAATTCTCGGCGTAAAAGTGCTTTCGTTTTGTAACCTCAGTTCACTGTTCCTCTAAAGTAAAACTCATCCGTACAAAATCATGACTTTTCTAAAAGCACTACAGCAAGTGTAGATGTGATTTACAAACTGCAGCTTCATTTGGAACAACATTTCTCCACTGACATATTAAGTTATTTTAACATGCGTTTGGTTAAACGGTTTTTTTTTTACTTACAGTGGTCTGTTACGTTTCTCCAAACAGGGAAAAAAAAATCACCGATTTGGAAGACTGCTCAGAAACGACGCCAAGTCGGACGAGTCTGTATTTGTGTAATCCGGAGAGGAGGAGCTGAACCACGACTCTGGACGCACAGTCGTGTCTAGTGGAGTTCTGGATACTGAAAGGTAGATCCATCTGAGAGCCACCAGCAATGATGGCACGGATTAATAATTAACAGCACCGTTTTTTAAAAAAAAAAATTACATATAGGAGCAATGGAGTGTCTATATTTCCATTTTCATTTCCATTAATCGTTTATTTATAAATTCAGAAGCCTTCAAAGTGCTTAACAGTGGGAGCTGGTGTAGTTACTTTGGCCAGATTGTTTTAAAAGTGCATTCATGTTCATTTAGGCCATTTGTCTCCTTATTTAAGCGCAATCCTAACCTCATTACAAGAAGATGATGCGCGTACTGCCTCTTTGTCTCTTGGCAAAGACTATGGAACTACAGAGCAGACTACACATGAAATGCAATTTACATTAGGCTAATATCAGTCTGCTCTGGCTTTGTTCCACTAAGCACAAAATTAACTTGTCAGTATGTTGGCAGCATTGCAGCGTGTGGATGTTAATCCTTCTCGTCTCCACTCGCTGACTGACAACAACAAAATGTAATTTCTATGACTGACAATGCAAACAACTTGTTTTTGCGTTACTGTAGAACTGTGGTCGGAGGGTGTTGCGTAATTAGCAAATCAGAATGATGCATATGCAGATTATCTCACTGATATTTGTCCAGCTCAGGTCAGTCTGGGAGCATGTTTGGACAAACCCTGCAGTCAGTCATTTTTAACAATGAATGTGTGTTTAAGGTGTTTCTTATTGATACTGTTTGCTATCTACTTTATATCAGAAGTTCTCCACTTGTTGTTGCCATGGATGTGCCATGGAATCTGTTTGTGTATTGAGTATTATTTTCTAAATTGATATCTCGTTATGTTTTGTGTACTGGATGGGAGATTACACTGAAGTTGCACACATTGTAAGAAGCTAATAATTAGGTGTGTATGTGACTGGATGTAGATGTATTTGCATCCCAGTTTAGGTGTATGTTCTTTTTTCTGGAGCCACAGAATGGCAAAGATGCCTCCTTGCACATATCAAGTTTGTTAATTTGATATAACAGCAAAGGTCAGAAATGAGCTTCCTTCTCTCATTCTATCACGTAAGAGGACACCACACGCCCTTGAAGGATTTTTCCTTTCAAAAACATTCTTTGAAAAGGTTTTTTGACAGCATATTCTGCTATTTTTCAGTTACCCAGCTCTTGCTCGTTTTCACATGAGATAAAATATACAGCAGCTGAAATTGAACAGTGTTTTATTCATGCAATATTCAGAAGGCAGTTGTTCTTGTTGATGCAACAACACTGTTCTTAGGAGCCTTGCGTATCACCCAAAACTGTCATTCCTCAGCAGCAGTAATTTAAACATTCCCTCGAGACTTTTAAAAATTGTACTTAATAGAAAATTCTGTTTTACGTTATCGCAAATTAATGAACGGTGCCTCTGCCTATGTTTAGAGATACTGGAAAAAATGTTTACAAAACTGGTAATTATAAGATGACAAGGAGCTACCTGCATTTCTTGGCCCTGAAAAAGTGTTTCTGCAGTATGACAGGTTGTCTGTATAAATCTGTACTCTGCATATTAACACAAATGAATCAAACATGTATGTGTGGTTCTGCAATCAAAGTGTTTTTCAATCAAAAAATAAAGTTGCGAAATATGGTAGTCCTACATATGTTCATTTAAATGTGGAAAATGATTTTTCGTTACAAGCTGGATGTGTAGATATCTGTGGATTCCATCGTATGTTATTGTCATGGAAGCACAGACATGTTCACACATCAGGGGGAATCTAGTGGCACAAAACGCAGCATCACACAGCTGTGGACATCAGGTAAGGACCTAAAAACTGAAATGTGAGGCAGAATCTCAGTGGCAGGTCTGGCCATTTGCTGCTGTGGAGAGGCAGCGAGGTGGCTGCATGGAGGGGGCGACTATTCCTGCCTGTGATTAGTGACCACGAGAATGCTAGAGGAAGGGGAGGGGCGGATGGATGATGATGATGGTGGTGGTGGTGGTGGTGGGGGCTGGGGCGGACTCTCTGAAGGAAGAGGAGGAGGAGGAGGAGGAGGAGGAGGATGCGTTGCCTGTGCACAATTGGAGGCAGCAGGGAGTGAAGCGGCATCTGTGAGAGCGGAGAGAAAGAACCTGCATGGAATGGAGGAGCACTGAAGCAGCTCTGTCGCTGTTGCGAGGACTCCCCCACCCACCTCCACAGCCACTGCCACTCTGGATTGTGTGTTAATGGGAGAGACTCAGAATAGGTACGTGTACAGCTTGTGCATGCTCATATGTGAAATGGAATTATTACCTTGGAGGAGGGTCACATTAGCAAGGTGAGGGTAGTGCGTTCTTGTCCAGGATGCTGCTCTGTACATTAAAGGTGTGTAATTAATGCAGTTCGTTATTTAGTGTGGATGATGCTTTTGTTGCTTTACACAGTATCTTCACTGAAATCTGTGCCTGTGATTTATAATGAGCTTCATCAAAGTGGAGCCGGGGTGACTACCTCAGGATGTGAACCTATAACCCAAGACATATTTAAAGCTGTTACCTTTATAGATCGAATGTTTGCCCGCTGTACATAAAAGCTGCTCTTTTTAATAACCACTGTGTCCTATGTTCATTTTCCAGCTCTGGGATGCCCAAGGGACCAGCTGCATGGAACCAGTGCCACCTCTGATATAATGCTGAGAGCAGGAGGAGCAGCCACCTCTCTTGCACTGCTGCTGCTGCTGCCGTTGCTGTGCTGGTGCCACCTGTGCCATTCGCTGCGTGAGTGTTGTGAGGACGAGGAATGCCTCATGAAATTACCATAGTAGGATGTAACAGTCTCAGTGTGACAGATGGCGTAGCTGAAGATGAGTTCGACTCATCTTAGTCAGTTGGAGACATGTAGAAACAGAGGAAGAACATGCAGAAATTCACAGGCTAAAGCGGTAAGAGAGGTTGTAGAGGTGGTCAAGCAAAAAAAAAAAACTGGTGTCAGCGTGACCACTTACATGTTCATGTGAAATTTTGCAGTTTTCCACGTAATTTAATGTCCTTTTGTGGAAGCTTTAATAGTTGAACCGGTGCACGACATTTCACAGAAACTAAGTATTCAGCAACAGAAAAAACAGCACTTTTTAAAAAAATATATATGTAGTAAGTGAAAGACTGCCTATAATTTTAACTAAACATGCACAATTTCTCCTTAGAGCTAAAAAGTTGAGCCTCATTTGATGTTTTTTTTTGTTTTTTGTAAGGGGATTCACCATTAACAGGAGACTTCTTGCTAAATCATTAATGCAGGAAGATGTTGAGCTAATGCAGGAGTTATCAGATTGACGGTTGTGATTACAGGACGGGGTAACGCAGCTGTTCACCACTAAGGCAGACCTGCGGAAGCTGAAATTAGCGTGCATTAAGAACATAGCACTAGAGACTGTATAAATACAAGTTGTCAGTAACTTTGATATGACATTAATGCAGCTTGAGGCATGCAGTGAGTCATCAAAATGTGTGAAGGTGATCTGATGGAGGACAGAAAAATTGGATCCAAATCTGTGGGTCGCCTTCTGATGTGAACTTTGCATGTTCTCCCTGAGCCTCCTTCTTCCTCACACAGTTCAGAGAAATTCTAAATTGGTAGGTGAGTGTGTGTGTAGGGTTGTGTGGCTCTTTATCCAGGGGGTTCCCCAACTTTCTCTGAACGTCAGCTGGGATAGACTTCAGCCCCCTCGTGAGGATAATGCAGGTATAGCTAATAGATGAACAGATAACACAGGTTTTGGGGTCAGGCAGGTCTTTTTTTATAATGTTTTTTAAGATTCTCATATCGCTGATGTTTCGTATGTTTGCCTGTTTGTAGGAACTTGTCATCTTTAGGTATTGTTATCTTTAGCATCTGGTAGCATAACACACTTAAAATAGTTTTTGGTGCATTTGTAGTCATGTGCAAGATTTTCATCCGCAACTATAAAGCAATAGCCCTGTAACGTCAAGTATCATGTGTGATACATCAGTTTTTGAGTCCTCTACATCATCAGTGTTCTTTTTTTTTCTTGGCAAAACTTCATAAATACAATAAGATGCATTCGATTCGAGAATAATCCACCATCAATCAATAATTCATGTCCCAAAAATGCTGGATGTAGCAGCAATGAAATATGAATGTTTAGATTTAATTATATTTTAATTCATCAGAAGAGTCAATAAACACTCCCATTTCAAAAAATTACAATTTTCTGGTAATTATTTCATGGTTCAGACTTTACAGGGTTAAGTTGATGCTCATTATATATTCCGTGGTCATTTTATATAACTTTTTATATAGCTTTTTTTTTTTTTTTTTTGCAATGCTTCCCACTGCACCTGGCAAACAGCAGCCAGCTCTGTCTTGAGTGATTCATTTCAACATTAAATATGAATTTTACTCAGCATTAGGTGTAAATATCATTTCAACAGATGCAGACTTTTAATGAGCTCCCTCTTTGCATCACGGCACAGACTTCATTTTTGTGTGTTGCTGCATTTTTCACTCTTCCATCGATCAGCAAGCAAATCACCAGTGATGAGTGTAGAATCCAGCAGATTCTGCCGCCAGCTTTTCAGCCAAGCGGGATACTTGTGACAGTGCGGGAGAAGCTGAAGAGATGATGAATTTGCTTATCACACAGTCATCGATTGTGGGTGTTGCAGCCTTGTCTTTATTGATCCACACACACTGAGAGAGTGGCACCACACATTTGTGGTCAGTCCTGTGGTAGATTTCCAGCCACATTCTCCATCCATAAATTGAGTTTATTGCCACATTGGTGAATGATTTAAAGGGCAGGATGAATGACGTTTGTGTGCAATTTGAAATTTTTATCGATATTTGCTACTCAGTAGTGGAGTTCTGCGTCAGCATAGCAATGCAGCAGTTTGACTGATTCAAGACTGTAAAAGAGTTGCACTTATCATGGACTGAACGTATATTCAGTACCACAGCCACATGTCTTACACAGTTGGATATTTATATATATATATATATAAAGAATCACAGTTTATACCTGTGTGATCTTAAACAAGGGATAACCCAACTTGATTAGATGAATGTGGAGGTCAAGCAACAAATGTGTGTTGGCATCATGCTGTTGATGAAGGCAGCTACAGTTTTCTAGCTTTCTAAGTATACAGGAGTCATATGATAACTGATGGCTTTTATGAAAACAAGCAAATTGTCACATGCAAGTCCAAGAAATGTCTTCACATCATATACAATGATTTCAACATCCACCATCCTCGGCCCAAAGTTAGGCTTGTGTTGTTATGTATTTTGCCATGTAAATATACTTTACTGTCCCATTGATAGCATCCTGCTGTATATTTACCATTTATTATATTTGCACCCATTATGCAGAGACTCATTAGTAAGCAGTGATTTTTATTTTATTTTTTTAATGAAAGGCATCCACCTTGAATCAAGAGCGCCGGCGTTATTTACGTTCACTGACACGAGTCACAGTACGAGACAGGTAAATAGGCACATCAGGTTTCCTGTGGGCAAGGATGGAAAGACACACAGCAAATAGGAAGTGAGCCAAATCTCTGCAGTGATTTTTCCGGTCAGGCTTAAATATGTCCAGATGGTATATATTTCCTCAGTAATCCTATGAAATGAATAATCACCATAGGGTTTTAATGGATTTCAACATTTTTGCCACAACATTAAAACCACCTACCTAATATTGTGTAGTTTCCCCACTGATGTTGGTCAGGCTTGTTCAGGCGCTAGTTAATCTGGGGAGTTTGGAGGCCGGGTCAGTGCCTCAGGCTCCTTGCCATGTTCCTTAAGCTGCTTCTACACTCTGGTGCCGGACATTGTCCTGCTGGGGGAGGGTTGCTTGGCCTGCAGCACTGCTCAGATGGGAGGTGCTTGTTGAAGTAACATTTACATGAATGTCAGGAGCCAAGGTTACCCAGCAGAACATTGCATTGCAACAAGATGATCAATGTCCTTCACTTGACCTGTCAGTGGTTTTAATGTTGTGGCCGGTCGGTGTATATTCTGGGCATAGTAACAAATGACGGCATAATATTTACACGAGACTGGAAGTCCTTTGAGACTTCACTGTGTGTTATTAGCCAAGTGCAGCACTGGGAGAAAACAGAATCGTGCTGAAATATGTTGGCTCTTGCTGACAGTCATGCAGCCAGATTACACACAAAAAAACCATTTCAGCCAAACAGTTACTATTCTCCACTCATAACTGCTGCGTTCAGTGTTATTCTTCTTTGTGATAATGGCTCCATTACAGAAGATTTATCGGATCATACTGATCTGCTAACTCTTTTGTTAATGGATAGCAGATGGATGTCGCATAGAGAAATGTTGACATTGTTAGTGAGGTTCCCATTCATAGTACATTTGAAGCATTTTGAGTCACGTTGTATATTCAGTGTGTGTTTGGGTCATGGCTTTGGTTTCTTTATCTCTTGTAACCGAAGCTTTAGTACAGAGGTCATAACCAGAAACTGTAGACATAAATACTGTAGTAAAGTCAGGGAGGTGAATGCAGTGTTGTTTGATAACAAAGCCGGAAATGAATGTGACTGGGATAATTATTAACCACAGAGTCAAAGCATTCAGTAAGTCAAAGGTACTGCTGCATTTGCTGAATTAACTTTAGATAAACTAGTAATTTTTTTTTGTCATTTTTCCTCTTTTCACATCTTTTAGGCGTTCCAAAACTTTCCTCCTATGCAAAAGCAGAGGACAAACTGTTCAAATATCTCTTTGGAAACTACCAGAAATGGGTCCGTCCAGTGGAATACCTGAACCAGACGATCCGTGTCAAGTTTGGGCTGGCTATCTCCCAGCTAGTTGATGTGGTGAGAGTCAAAGGGCACAGATTAGAGATGTTTGATTGTGTTATTTAGATTATGCAGAGTATATAAAAACATTTTTATGTGAGTTCAAAGTCAGACTGCTATTTACAACATGTCAAATGTGCACGTCTTAAATTTGAAGTTTAAACTTGTTGTTTTTACCATTTTAGGATGAGAAAAACCAACTAATGACAACCAATGTTTGGATGAAACAGGCAAGTAGAGTTTTACTTCTAACCTAAAGAACTAATGCAATATTACATTTAACCAGAAAACTTGCATGGTTGTAACTTTATGGTCACGGAAGTCTTCTGAAACAACCTCTGGCTTACATGGCATATCGAGACAATCAGTCTGCCCCTCCACACCCCGTTTTAATCAGGTCTGGTGGCATTTCACTGACACTTTTCATCTATACAAGTCTTTTCAGCGCTCTGCCCACGCACCTGCCTCCACAAGCCCATTTCTGCTCCTGTCAGCCTTATTCATAGTCTTGCGTGTCCTGTTTGTCATTTATCCTATGAACTATCCCCTAAGATCAGGCTCTGCCGTTCAGGTTAGTTGCTCCCTTTCACAGTGATGAATTATATCATGCAGAAACGGAAATGGAAGGGCAGTGGCCTCGTCAGTAATGTCTATCCATCATAGATGTCATTGTGTCACTTTCACCTTTAACAATTACCCTTTTGGTTTAGAGAAAGTACAGTAAGCTTAAGATTTTATTTAACATTTGTTTACCACCTTGGTCATTCTATTACAGCGCTCCTACCATGTATACCAGCTTAAAGGAAAGCTTTGCCATATTTTTTGTAACACACTGAGGAGAAGATTGCTCCTACCTTCATGTCTGTACAGTGAATGACGCTACTGTTAGCAGCTAGTTAGCTTAGCACAAAATCTGCAAATGCAGGAAAACAGACAACTGGTAACATAATCCATCCACCAGCACTTTATACACTTTGCTTTTTGTGTGGATAAAGCAAACAAGATAATATGTGTTTATTAGATTACCTTGAAGGTAATGGTAGGAAGAATTTGTGACCTGATTCCTTTTGTTCCTAGTCTTTGTGCTATGATGAGAAAGCAAGCAACTAGTGTGCAAACATGAAGTGTTTTCAGCCATTTAACTCTCAAGGTAGCAAATAAATGTGGCTGGATTGTTTTTCTGCATTAGAAAAAAAGAAAACATTTTCCATTTTTTCCCTCATATAGGAGTGGATGGACATGAAACTCAGATGGAACCCTGATGACTATCTGGGCATCACAACTGTCCGAGTCCCCTCTGACAGGATCTGGCTCCCAGATGTTGTACTGTATGATAAGTATGTACATATTAAAGATGCATTTTATATTTTCCAAATGTTTTATGATAGTCATGGCATAAGAACACTTCAGAAAAGGGTAGTGAGCCATGTATTAATAAAAATACAGTCATGAAAACATTTGAAGAAAAGCAGAGTAGTAGAATTTACAGTTACAAACTATCAGATGAAACTGTGGCATATTTCTGTCAACAGTTCAGATGGACGGTTTGAGGGAACTGTCACCAAGGCTGTTGTTAAGTATGATGGAACCATAACATGGACACCTCCAGCCAATTACAAGTCAGCCTGCACCATCGATGTCACCTTCTTCCCTTTTGACCTCCAGAACTGCTCCATGAAGTTTGGCTCCTGGACATATGATGGCTCCCAGGTGAGTCTCACTCTGCAATATGTACAACAGTGCATTAGTTCTAGCCGTAACCTGTGATTGACAGGAGATTTCACTCTGTATTGTATAGGTGGACATCATTCTGGAGGACTTCCATGTGGACAAGCAGGACTATTTTGACAACGGTGAATGGGAGATAGTGAAGGCCACAGGCAGCTGTGGTTTGAGGACTGATGGCAGCTCTTCTTATCCCACCATCACCTACTTCTTTATTATCCGCAGGTTGCCTCTTTTCTACACCCTCTTCCTCATCATTCCCTGCATTGGCCTGTCCTTTCTCACCATCCTCGTCTTCTATCTGCCTTCAAACGGCGGAGAGAAGATTTCTCTCTGCACCTCAGTGCTGGTGTCGCTCACTGTCTTCCTCCTGGTCATTGAAGAGATCATCCCCTCCTCTTCCAAAGCAATCCCTCTTATCGGGGAGTACCTTGTCTTCACCATGATCTTCGTCACCCTCTCCATTATCATCACTGTCTTTGCCATCAACATCCACCATCGCTCTTCTTCTACGCATAATGACATGGCACCCTGGGTGAGGAGGATTTTCCTGCATCGATTGCCTAAGCTGCTGTGCATGCGCAGTCACGTGGACCGTTATGCGACAGCTGGGGTTTCCAGAGTGGGAGGACCTGTAGGATTGGGCAGGATGAAAGACTCAGATCCTGAGCTCACACCTCTCCTCCACAACCGACACAACCTACAAGCAGCTTTGGAGTCCATTCGCTACATAACCATGCATGTGGTTAAAGAAAATGAGGTCAGAGAGGTGAGCTTATTGTATTTTGACTGAAACAAAGCAGCGTATCATCACTTACCTTGTTTAGATATCTGGCCTCTATATCTGCATGCACTGAAGTATTGAGGATATGTTCAGAGACTGACGTGTGTTTTTTTTCCTTCACTACAGGTGGTACAGGACTGGAAGTTTGTAGCCCAGGTTCTGGATCGAGTGTTTTTGTGGGCCTTCCTCCTGGTGTCAATCCTCGGCTCTGCTCTCCTCTTCATTCCAGTTATTTACAAATGGGCCAACATCATCGTCCCTGCCTATACTGGAAGCACTCTTTGAATTAACAACAAGTGGAAGCAAAGCACATCAACAGCTCTTTATGGTCTTATTTGACATTTGAAAGTATAAGATACTAAGACTGCCATTCAGATAAAGGCCCTGTTCTGGGTGTCTGTGTCTTTCTGTGAGCTACAGCCATGCCAGAGATCAAGCTGCAGCTTCAGGGGCCTTGTTTGCAGATTGTAGAGACACGTGCTGTCACAAATCCATACCACATTGAGGGTGTCGTGCATTCAGACTGGAAGCTTGACAAAGTAGACTATAGTCAAATCAGAGAGCGTGCATACTGATTCTGTCAGCTTGTTAGTGTGCTGTTTATGCACAACATTATTCCACAATGCAGTGCACAAGTGAAATAGAGGAGCTGCTCACGGCTGGAAGCTGGAAGGTGGTGGAAACAGGGAAGATACTGGGAAATCTCTTTAAAACAACAGCAAAACAGTTTAAACAGTACACTTTGGCAAATTGTATGTTGCAGATATTATATAGAATTGGTGTGAATTTGGTTTCAACCTGTAGTGTGGAACTTTTGTCTCCCCCTTCAGCCAATGATGACACTGTTGGCGCATGCTTAAGATGTATGCCTCGCTGTTGATCTTTTCAGACTGTATTCCTTCCTTAAAATGCAGAGTGTCTTTTTCATCAGTTTTCTTGGACTCTTAATCCCAGTTGCTGTAGCCTACTCCATCTCAGTCACTGCGGTTGCTCTTCTCTTCAGCTCCGGCAAGCCAACCATTGCTGGTTGACGATAACTGCATCGCGGTCAGATTTGAAACTCCAGATTCCTGCGAAACACGGAGAGATTTACCTGGTGCCGGTAGGCCTGGAAGCATTTTGTGAATTCGTTTGGCAAGGGGCTTGAATGTAAAAGTCATGAGAAAGTCCTGCACTTTAGCTTTTAGGATTCCAAATTCTGTATTCCTGGGATTAAAAATGATCTAAAGAAGATGAGCTGCATTTTTGTCCGCATCTTATACATAAATAAATGACAGTACAATACATTCCTTTGGCTCTGTGTACTTGCTGCTTCATGGGGCAGAGATTTATCACTGGGTCTGGAAGAGGTAGATACAATATAGCAGGAAGAAAACCTTTGAGGGGAAGCATAAATCACTTATGTATTGTTTTTCCTGCTAATTGTTAGTTCTTGTGTCCCTATCAATGTAAGGAAAAATCAGCATTTCTTTCAAATCATGAGCATAGTTGTATGAATGCAGTCTGCAAGTATCAGAATTTAGACTGCATGTGAGTCAGACACTCCTTTTTAAGGACACACAATTGTTTATAGCTCCTCCACCCATTCTACTTCACTCTGTGTGGGAAGGAGAGACGGCTTTCTTGCCAGGACTTGAATTTCCCAGAACTCCCCTTCAGCCTGAGGACAAATCCTGCATGTGCTGGGAGGGCTGTAAGACGATCTGTTGTCACAGCTCAGCACAAAGATGCTGCAGATCCCAGATGTTTTTAGTTGACTGGATTGGCACAAAAACCAAGATTAATGAAAAAGTAGCAAATTTCTTCCAACAACTCAGAATCTATTTTGTTTTTTTAACTGATGTTGCAGCTCAGACAATGTAATTTAGGTAAATGTAATAAAAGGCCGTGGGCACACTGCACCACTGTCAAGATCTAAGTAATTAGGAAGACTCACCGTGCCTCCAGCCTTTGGTTAATCCTGCACTGCCACTGCATGGCCACATGTTCACATTACAGCTTAGAAAAGGCACCAGCAGCATGGACATGTTGGGGACCGTACTGATGTAATCAGTGATATTTCAGTTCCAATTACGACTACACTAAATGCAGAGACAAACAAAACAGAAGTGCTAGTAAAAGCCCTTAAGAATAAAAATGCAAACAAATGTCATAAAATGAGGCAAAGGAGGCCATGGAGACACAGAAGACAATGAAAATGTCATGAACCCCCAGCCCTTGCCTGTCTCCCTCTTTTCCTCCCTCTCTTCTCCCGCCTGTCTGCCTCTCGCTCTCTCTGTCCCTCTCCCTCTCTGCCCCTGTGCATCTTTGCTCTAATCAGGACAATCACCCTCAGCTGCAACTTCGGACTCACCTGCACACTATCACCACTGCTCCTATAAATACTCGGTTCATTCCACCACAAGCTGCCGGATCATAGACGTTACATTTGCATGTTTCTGCCAGTCTCCACTTCGCCTCTCCCTGGATTTCC